GCCCCGTCCCGCTCTGCCGAGGACGTCGGTGAAGGAGCAGCGAGGGGTAGGAACCCCCGGGCTCCGTCCCGCTCGGTGGTTTCCGCGGGGTTGGTCGCCTTGCTGCTCAAGTTCCCCTCGTGTCGGTGACTTGAAAGTTCCTTGTTGAGGTCGGGTGCCTTTGAGACAGGCGTGTGCTCTTGGCGGGCTTCCCCGGGCCTTGTCCAGGTCGATGTGGATTTAGGTGCTGCTTCAGCAATCGCATTCTCTACTTTCAGACTCTTTGGGGTTAAGGTTGTGTTCTGACACTTTAAATCGCCTAAAAAAGGCAGCTTCTTAAAAGTCCCTGCACAGGAAGAGAAGGATACAAACGAATAAACGGCTATCTGCACACTAAAATTAACAATCTGTTTCTTGCCTTTTTCTTCCTACTTCTTGTAACAGAATTATGGATCCAAGCTTACTGAGAGAGCGAGAGCTATTCAAAAAGCGTGCCCTCTCCACACCAGCAGTAGAAAAACGTCCAGCGCCATCTTCTGACTCCTCCTCTTCCAAAAAGAAAAAAGCAAAGGTAGAACAAGGTGGCTCGTCAAGCTCGAAACAAAACACAGGTTGGTGAAAGTCTCCTGTTCAACAGCTGTTTGCTGTTTTCCACTGTCAGTCTCTAAACTATGGTTTATTAGCATGAATCAGTCTGTGAATTTTGCTAGTGGCTGTTGTCATTCTTCCTTTCAAATTGTCGCTGTTTGTTAAGAAATTCAGTTGCACAATGGGCAAAAATGCTTCTCTTACCACGTGTATGTGTTGGGCCTCATCCTGTGACTTGTTTGCTGTTACGCGGTTGGAGGAATCGCTACTGACCAAATGTGATTTCGTATGAAGCTGAACTTTGTTTGTGGATTTTTGGTGCTTGCTGGACCCACAGGACAAGCAGTGACAGCGGTCTCATTCTTTTTCTCTCTTTTGTCTTTCTGGCAAGAGAGCACGTAAAACTTTATTTTGTTAACTGCAAGTGATAGGCTCTCCGTCTGTGAGATGGATTTTGCAACTTGTTTGGTTGGTGTGTAGGGATTAGCAGTCATTCTTGTTTTACCTGGGACCTGATCATAGTGTTCGTGAACACCATGGCTTCTGTAGGTTTCTGTCTGCTTTGGTCAGGAGTTCCAGCATTTCCCAGGGACGGTGATGCTGATAACGCATCCATCAATATCAAGTAATCAGTTAATAAAGCACCACCAAAATAGCGGGAGCCAATGAGAAGTGCAGCACCTGGAGCAGCAGGGAGAGGATTTGTGTGCGGACAGCAACGTGCTCTGTGTTGGCTTTCACTGTGCATAACCTGGGGGGCCCTTTCCGTTCTCTGAGAGCACTGATGGTTCTCGGATGCGCTCTAAGGGTCAAATCATAGACTTGTTTGGGTCTGAAGGGACCTATAAAGGTCATCTAGTCCAATGCCCCGCCATGAGCAGGGACATGTTCAACTGGATCAGGGTGCTCTGAGCCCCGTCCGACCTGACCTGGGATGTTTCCAGGGATGTGGCATTTACCACCTATCTGGGCAACCTGGACCAGTGTTTCATCACCTTCGTTGTGAGAAGTTTCTTTCTTGCATCTACTCTGAATCTGCCCTCTTGTAGTTGAAAACCATTACCCCTCGTCCTATGGCTACAGGCCCTGCTAAAGTCTGTCCCCATTTTTCTTTCAAACCCCCTTTAAGCACTGGCAGGCTGCAATAAGGTCTCTGAGGACCCTTCCCGTTTCCAGGCTGAACAACCCCAACTTTCTCAGCCTGTCCTCACAGGGGAGGTGTTCCATCCTGCTGATCACTTTTGTGGCCTCCTGTGGACCTGCTCATTTAATTCCCAGCAGGAGTATGAAATGTCCTTCACGTTTGATCGTGGAGTCAAATGTGAAGGAGTCATTTCACAAATGTCACTTGTGAAATCAAATGTCCAGAGTTACTGAAACACAAAATACCCTGTTGCACCAAGTGACTGCCTGCTCATATTTTGAATACCACTCTTCTAAACTCCAAAAGAAACAATAGAGCTAAAAACAACAGAGAGAAACATCAAGGACGATAGGAGGAGTGAAGCATCTTCTGTCTGAGGGGAAGAGTAGGGAGTTTGTGTATTTATCTACAGCTTCTCAGGGCACCAAGTTATCAGCCAGACATTTTAAAATAAATCAAGGGAACCATGTTTCCATCTGTCTCTTTGCCACACTCTCCCAATGAAATAAAATTCTACGTGGAGTATCCTAAACTGCGTATCTTGTGATTTGCTGGGAAAGAGGGATGGGGAGGCAGGAAGCGGGTGGACAGTTCAAATGTGAGTCTGCGCTGGAGGATTTGGGTAGACACGTGGCCAAGCGGCAGAGCAGATAAAGAAAGTGTAATTTCTGTGGTTTTGTGGGCTAGGTATTTCTTTAAGTGCTTTTGCAGTTCTCGGGTGATTAGTTTACACAAAGAGCAATGTGTCACTGTGAGGCAATATGCTTTATCTTTTACGCTGCTGGCTTCATTCCAGACACTATCAGAAGGGTTTCAGGGTTTCTGTAGCATTTTTGTGCAGAATGAGTTCAGCCTCCTTTCACCTTCCCCTGGAGAGTATTTACTAACTACTGTAGAAGCAGCAAGGATGGAAGAAAAATAATGGAGAGCAAGCGGACTGATTTTCTCCCTCTTGTTCTTAGGAATTGGCTTAGAACAAGTGTTCAGGCTGGCAAGCAACTGAACAGGTTAAGCAGCCACAAGCAGCACGATTTGCCCTGTGATGCTGCAGAGTCCAAGTCCTTTGCCTCAAAACCCACTTTTTATTTGAATTGCCAAATTCTTATGTACCTGTCAGGATACACTTGTGTCAGGGACGGGTCTTGGGGAGGTGGAGTGAAAACTTGATGTTGAAAAATTCCTGTCCCACCCCCCCACCCCATCCACCCATGAAGAAACAAAAATTAAGGTGATCAGACCTAGTTTTGTTGCGTAACGACCACAGAGATGATAAATAATGTCACAGTGATTACGTGTTGGCATTGATAGTCCCTGGGTGCGTAGCGCATGTGGGTTCTCCCTCGTTCTGTGATGCTGTAACTCGGAGAACCTGCCCTTGTCACTTTTTTGGGGAGGAGAGGCATTGAGAGCATGCTAATGTGCAAATGACTGCATAGCTAAATCTGGCCTGCGTGTGAAGATATGTTTTAAGCTTTCCAGTGATAGTAGTGATTATTATAGTATTTGGAAATCATTATTCAAACAAGTTATTTGAAAAAATTCAGAACTGCCTTGTTTACTCAGTTCAGAGTAGTAACTGTAGAATAAATAAAATAGATCATATCTGTTTGTTTATTTTTATTAATGAATAGTAAGTTGTGGCTAAGGTCTTACTATTTAGACCTTTGTCTTGATGGTCTTAGCCAACAGTAATCAAGAGCTGAAATGTCCAGGACTGAAATCTCCTGTTTCATGACTTAGTCTACCTGTGGGAAAGAATCGTCCTGAGGCTCTAGGGCTGTGCAAGGGTAGATCTTTGTCTTCTGTTCCATGTGCAGACACCCAGCCACCTTCATAGATCTGTGAAATAAGAAGCTGGAAAGACTCCCAAGGCTATTCATTATGTGTGCTTCTCAGGAAGGCATTAAGAACACAAAGCCAGCGTTGCAGAGGCTGGCCGTGTTACTTCATGCACACTGCCTTCTTGTGTGCGGCGATGACGAGCGTTTTGTAGGAACGCTGCAAGTGGCCAGCAATCCGGTTGCCGTTTGGAGCGTTCGTTGATTAATTGAGTGCGTCGCGATGGCTACTCTTGCCTCTCTTGAGCAGGACGCCAGTCTTTCAGGGCCGACGCTGTCAAATACAGCAGAAGGTAACAAGGCATCTAACCCAGTGTCCCTGACAGTGGAAGGTATTATCATCACTAATGTTACCTTCATCATATGTCTTGCTGTGAATCCTAAATTGTCGCGTACCTGGGGCATCAGCTTCCGTTAGTTGTGCTTATAGTTTGACTTTTAGCTAAAAGCATTCTCTGCATGTGGAACTGGTAGTGGCAAAACTTCACTGTAGCAAGTGCATTTGAGATGAATGGTTGCAGCGGTAGTTGTGTCATTTGGGGATTGCAGAAGGGAGATGGTTTCTCCAGGTGAATCGCTGGACTAGCTATGCTGGTTAGTGACTCCATCTCGCCAACCAAGAAGAGCATGAGTCCACTTAGCAAGTCTTTCATTATGTCCAGATCTTCTGGACCTTAGGCGTACTGAACCTGGTAGAGGGAGTTTCTTTTTTTTTTTAATATAAAGAGATAATTATAGGTACTGGCCATAGCACAAAGGTATTTCTGGCGTGGAGAGACTGTGAGACCAGTGTTGTAGCTTACTTGTCTGTTTGGCCATTAGGTGGGTTTTGTTTCCCTGACGACAGGGGTGTTGTTTGGGTTTTATGTAGTTAAATATCTTGTCCCACATGTAGCTTTGGTCTGGGATGTTTCTCACTGGCCTGCTTCTCTATGGGTTCGGGAGCGTGGAAAGACTTAACTGGGCATTACTGATGGCCATGCTGTTGGGTGCCATTATTACAGTTGTAATTTGTAACTGCAAAACTTCTATAGTTTTAAAAACCATAGACGCAGCGCAGCTACAGATGAAAAATAACGCGGTGAGCTAGAGGTCTGAGTGTTAGGTGTGTATCCCCAACTCTCTGGGGTGCATTGGCAGGCTGACGAAGCAAGCTGAGATTCTTTTGTGCAAAACAAAGTCCCTTCTCACTGTGCATCCATCCTGCCATCTCTAACACAAGGTTTATCCTGGTGTGGCCTCCTTTGTGAAGCATGTCGACACCTGAAAGCTGCATGAAGACTGGGCAATATGACTGTCATCAGTGTGGGACGCCTGCAACCCGTCTGCTTGTGTTCCTTAGCCAGAACTCGGTCAGCTCCAGTTCAGCTTTGCAAAGTTAAGATAGGGACGAGATACCCCGCATGTCTGACTCCCTGTAGTGTAGTGGTTACCATAGAGGCAGCAGCCTTGGGGCAGAAAAATGTCCCTGTTTTTTCTAGACTGTAGCACCGCTACAGTATGCTTTTGTGGAAAATATTAGATATTCTTAAGGTAGCACATCAGTCAGGTCTCGACACCCAGAAGTTGTTAAACAGGTTGAATATGAAGTAAGGGGAGAGCAGTTCTCTGGAACTGGAGAAGGGGAGGGAGAAAGGGTCAAGGTATACCACAGGAAGTCAGAAAAGGCCATTTTATGGATCCATTTCATGCTGGCTTACTTTTCCTCCTGCCACCCTTTCTTCTACAAGTGAGGAACCCCGTAATAAGAAGAGCTGCCCAAGGCAAGAATTCACGCAAGCCTCTTCTGTCTCATGGGATCTGTTGCCATTCGACCCTTCTATCTCGTTTGTTTTTTCTCACCCCTTGTAATGTCTTTCCTGTCTCTGTGTGGCTGACTGCAGCGGGAGGACACTGCTGTGTCTTTGCACTATGTATGATCAGATTGTTGACCATTTTTATAAATGTTTTCTGTAGTTAAGCAACGTTGTTTTATGCAGGTTAAGCAACGTTTGTTAGTTCAGGTAGACCAAGATCTATGCTAGTAACTCAATATAAGCAAAAAAAGTTAATTTTAAGACAAATCTTTTCTTCCCCCATGACATTGCAACAGGTCATCCTTCTGCTAAGCGCTCGGAAAGCCTTTGCCGATTACTCAAGTTCACATCCACAGATAGAATGATAACTGTTGCTGTTATATTTAAGTCCAAAAAAAAAAAAGCATGTGACTTGCTCATTCGTAACGTACGAGAGGCTTCATTCAAGGTGTTAAACGTTCTTCAAAGAAGATGCTTCAATGCTGATGCTCAGTCCTTCCTACACTACCTCTGTTTCATGCTTTCTGAAGCTGTTCATCATTGCTCTAACAGGATTGGGTTCGTTCTCCAAGTCTTTGACAGTTTTATTTTTCACACAGCAGCAACAGTCTAGCAGTTCGTAGAGGAAAGCCAACACCACCAGAGAAACTACAGTAAAGATGAATATGATCAGAATAATAAAGCAGGCAGTGTTCCAGTTATCGTGGAAAGGGTAAATTTTTTGCACTTGGAAGCCCAGATACTGGGAAATGGATGTAGTCTCATTCCAGTGGGTAGTGTTGAGGGTTGCCATTCTTCAAGAGTCTTTTTTGCGTGTTCACTGTCACGGATTTGGGGGCTGAAACAGAAAAATAAAGCTGTTGAGGATTCTATTGATCAAGAACATGCTGTGATTTTTATCCCAGACTCTAAGAAATTAAGCTCAGACTAAGTGCTCACATATCCTACAAACATGGATTGTTGCATACTCATATTTGCTCACAAAAGTACCGAACTCCAAATGTATGACTTTGCGATTTGTCTGGAATGTTTAATTTAGCGATGACTAATGGTAAAACAGTCGCTGCATGCATCATGTAGTGAAAGTTATTCTGGAATGAGAGCGCTTTGCTTCTTTATTTGAAGTATATGCAAAGACAAAAAGGTTACAAAGATAATTTCCAAGGTATACAGCGGTTTCAATGACCTGTCCATTGTTAGTCTTAAGGTTGGTACTTGCACGGTGTAAAAGCCCTCAGTGCTCTTTTGGCATTCTTAGAAAAGCAGGAGATCCGTGTACCACCCTCCCATACCTGAGTGGTTAGAAGAACTTACTACATGTTAATGTCATTGGGGTTTGTTTGCTTGTTTGGGATTTTTTCCCTCCTATTTGGGAGAACGAAAGAAATCACTCTTTAAAAAATAATGTAGAAATCGTAACGATTTTGGGGGATGTTTCCAAAGAATGGAACTGAGCTTTTGGTTGTTCTTCTAGTACAAACTTAACAATCCTGGTTCTTTAAAATGCATTATTTTAGAATCGCCTATTAGCGCAGGCTTCTTAAGCCCGCAAAACTCTTTCTGACTTCAGAAGGCCAGATTTCCTGACGTGTTCGTCTCCCTGCTGTTCTGCTGTTGAGTAGAAGTTTGTGCTCAAGAAACCCAACTGCTCGGTTCAGCTGCCTGAATGGGACTGAGCGCATTTGGAAATTTCGGCCCATTTGCGGTGCCGTGGTCATTAGGATAGAACACAAGGAAAACCCAACCCTTTCTGAGGAGTTCTGGTTTCTTATTTTCGATGGCATTCTCTGTTTAACTGCTAGGAAAGGAATGTTGTCTTTGGTCCAATACCGCCTGTTTGTACCCAGCAGAAGAAAAGACTGCTTTGTGGTGTGGGGGAGAGATGAAACAAGAAGTCGGCTGCAGCGAATCTGCCTTTGGCACTAATGGTATTGCTGTGGAGATGTGCTGGTTCGGAAAGGCCGTCGCTCAAAAGCGTGGAAGTAGGCTGTGCCTCAGTAATTCCTGTAGTACATCTAGAACAACAAAGCAGTTTTGTCTCTCTGTGAATTAGGGATAAGTAGGCAGATGAGGTGTTTGGCAATAACATCTTCACGGCGATGCGTCTCTTCTTTCCCCCCGTTTCCTTCTTTCCCTGGCTTTGCCTCCCCAAACTGAGGGTACTTACAGTACTTTTGGCATATAGTCTAATGTCATAGAAAATGTCCAAGGAGTCACAGGAACTTCTGGTTACCTGTCATAGCATACTGTAGGATGCCATAATAACCTTTTAATCCTTCAGGCAATTTAAAATCGAGTGTGGGAGAAGGAGATCAAGTCAGATGTCCATGTTCCCTTGAAGAAATAACAAGGAGGTTTTAGAGGAAACACGGTGGTGAGTGGCACTTGACAGGCCAGCCCATGCCCCGCATGTAAGACCGTCGGTGAGTGGATGCTGGGTAACGGGCAGCTCGCGAAATGCGCTTTTGCCTGCTGGCGTGCCCCAGAAAACGTGGGGTTATGGAAGGGGAAGAGAGAGACAAGACGGTAACTTTGCGGAAACCTGGAGCCCTATGGCCATGCCTCAATGAAAGATTTTTTTGCTTTGATCATGAAGCAAAAAGTGAAAACCTAGCCGTGTTCATTACCAAATGGTCCTGGCAACCCACATTTAGTTTAATTTCAGTAATCAAAACTACGGAACGAAGGGGTAATGCTGATGTTTTGTTCGTTAAACTGTGCTCGTAGGCAATGCTTTAATGAAATCTGCGTGTCCCAGAAATGGTTCTGCAATCAACCTTGTTTAGACAGTGAAAACTACAACATGCCTGAATAAACGAGAGGTGATAAAGGCAAAGCGTGACGGTGTCTATTAAAGCAGATTACTTAGAGCAGTCTAAGCACCTGTTACGATTTTTGTGTCGTTATTAAAAAATTAGCATATTGTGAAAACGAGGGTGATGCAGCCAAACCAGCTTGCGATTTATGTATTATATTTATTGTTCAAATACTATACATTTTGTTCTCTATCCTTCTGTCTTTAATGGATTTAAGTTGAAATGGAACAGCATTGTTGTTGGCAAGATACCTGGCATTAGCATTTGGTACAGGCATTTATTGGAGCAGTTGCAGTAACTTCCTGTTTCCTCTGTTAAATCTGTAACTGAATACAGAAAGTATGACTCGAGATGCATAGGATTAATTAGACTGGTTGGGGTTTTTTTTCTTAAGCACAAGTTTGCAGACCAAATCCAAGCTAAAAATACTCCTGAGTGGAGTTGGGTCCTGGCTTTGAGAGCATGGCTTGGTTTGGTCACGGTCTAGAAAGGAAGCTTGGCTGACCTGTTTTATGGGGCTAAAAGTCAGGAGGCTTTTTGAAAGAGTGGTCTGAATCGCAGAGATTTGAAAATCTCTGAGGGGAGGGGAGGGCCTGGATAAAAGGATTTGGAGTCCTCTTTGAGGGGTAATTAAAACAAGCAGGATTTAAATGTGTATTTTAAATGGCAAGACAATATCCTCGGGAAAGAAGAGAGACAAGTTTTATTGTGAACTCTTCAAACAGGTTACTAAGACTGAGGATTTCATTGGAATCTCTTACATGTAAGCCTGCTCGCTCTGTAAACAGCAGGCGCAAAAAAATTAACTGTTTCTGCTGATGGGAAATTCAGTATTTTAGTCACTGCTAAAAGTGATCAAGATGTGGGGCTGCTGGAGAGACCCGACATGTTCACGTTGTATAGCCGAGACGCCGAGCTGCCCGCACAGCTCTCCGCCAAGGCGGTAGCTCTGTTCCCGAGAGAGGAGAGGAGCATCTTCGGCACGGCATGGCTCCCCAGGCAGGAGCCCCTGCGGCTCAGCTGCCGGCGCAGTGCAGCAGCCAGCCCCTTCCCACTCCACAGCCACCATTAGGGCAGCGGTTTGCACAGCGTAGAGAAGCTCGTCTTTACGCGGGGAGGTGGAATTTAATGCCCGTGCCGGAGGTAGTTTGTGCTTCTCGAGGATGATGATGATCTCCTTAGATCTGAATGAGGCGAGGCAGATAAATATCAGCTACTCGTTGCTGTAATTCTTAAAATACAAGACTGAAGTCTTGCTGCTGAGCCTTCAGAATTAACACAGCACTAACAAGGTTAACATCTTTGAATGCTGTCGTAAATGGTCTGGTTTCATGCCGTTTTATTTATTTTGTAATGGCACCATTTAGATTCATATTGTAAGCCAGTCTGATTTGAATGCATTTCAGCTATTGCATTTATCCAAAATGCAGTGAGTTAAATATTTAATGGATTGGCTTCTCTAGTATCTGTATTAGGTTTTAATTTAAAAGTACCATTGTCTTTACACCCTGCAGAGGAGCAGCTTGATTTGAAATTATATTCATGGAGCAGAGGGAAATGACTGGCAAAAAAAAATCATTTCAATGCAGTACTGAGGAAGTCCTGTTTAAGAAACCACTGAATAGACATCTTGGGGTAATAGCATTTACAAATCTCAGATGGATTCTAATATGCCTGTTCGTGTTGTATCGATCGCTGCTCCGGTATTTACAAAGATAACAATATGCAACGGGATTTTCTTCCTTCCCTAACGTACCAAATCTCGGGAACGGGTTTCTAGCGTATCCACGAACACAGGTCTCTTTGAGGCAGCTTAATTGATACGGTTTACGGAATACCGACTTGGGAGATACGTTTCTTAAATTTCAGGCTTAGCTGTCTTTGTTCTAAGGAAAATCCTTTCACTGTCATTTCTGTAAAAACGTATAGAATCAATTACAAGGAACATGAGGCTGCAGGAAACAAGCTACCTCCCCAGTAAGCATGAAGTCCATTTTTGTTTACTGAATCTTGGCTTGGTGTATTAGCTTTTCTGCAAGATGGAGCGGTCATCAATTTTCCATTAGTGCACAGATGGTGAAAGTGCTTGTCTGATAGTGCAAGACAAGCCCCTCTGCGTTCAGCGAAATAAAAGCCTGCTAAACCTAGAGAAAAAGCATTCTGATTCTAAGAAGCCTTTTACAGGCTTGTAGGTTACAGGCATATTTTCTTTCAGTAATCAAGATAATCCTTAGACAATGTTATAAAATGATACAGACCTACCTCTTGTCTGAAAGGATGCTGGAAGAGCGCTGTTCTGGTCCCTTTTTTTAATGCAGCCTATGGCACAGCTAAGATGGAGCTTTCCTACCATTGGCCAGAGCATGGTGCTGCTGACAACTTCCTTTATGCTGATTTGCATCAAGCCCTCAACCCCAGGAGTAAATCATTCATAAATTTGACTCTTACTGTCTTCAGTAAGAAACAAACCCCTTCCCGCTCTCATTTTTGGGATGCTTTTTACGCGTGATGAGCTCATCAGCGGAGAAGGCGCGCTGGGAGTGCGACGGTGGCCGTGACCCCGCTTTGCTTTGCTCTGGAAAGCAGCCGGTCAAACCGTGACGTTTGAAGCGTTAATATCTGCAGATTTCCAGCTTCGCTGTGTTGTTAGATTTACTTGTTGTGAACTGTAGCAAGTTGTAGCCAGGCAGATTAAACAAGATAATCTTCTTGATTCAATTGACAGAACAAATACATGATAAATCGTCTTAACTATTTGTTGTACCTCTGATTTTATTTTGGTCACTTTAGACCTCTTGTGACATGCATGGTTTTCTTTCATTTGTAAAATGTCCTGCATAGACATTGATTTTTAATGATCAAAGGGGACCCTGTAGGGGAAAATCCCTATAGGCTATATTTTCAGGAGGAGCTGGCTTTCGGTTTTTCTCCTTTTCTCCATCTTAATTTAGTAACCAGAAGAAAATGTTCTTCTGTAGCTGTGGTTACGCTGATTCTTCTATGTTAATTTTAGAATTGTTGTGATATGTAAAGCCTCTCATGCGATGTCATACAGTAGCTTCACAAATCCTAGTTGCCAAGTTATAAATTTGATGTTTGTTCCTTCAGCGTTATGCGTTTTTTAACTACAGTAGCACCGGTTTCCATGAAGTCTTCCCAATAATTATCGAAAGTGGATTTGTTGGAAATCTGACTACATCCAAAACTCCCACCTTGTAGTTGCCTTTTTTAGTGACTTACAGATCAACTTAGAAGTAGGTTGAGATGCAGTGGGACAGACATGAAAAAAAGTTTCACTTGATGCATAGTGACTTCGGAAACTTAATTTGGAGCTTCCTGTGAGGAACTTTGCAAGGGCATCTAAATCCAAACACGGTGAATGTAGCAGACTTTTCTAAGCCTGATGCTTACTCGGTGGAGGCGATGGGTCTTTGTCGAACATCTTGGGTGCGTTTTTCTTCTTTCTTTCTTTGTTTCTTTCTTCACCCTGAGCCTTTGCAGTCCTTATCACTGCTCTCATCCATACCTCCAGCTGCCCAGCAGAGCAAAGACTTGTCTTAGCAGTTCTGCTCAGCACCTGCTGAAACCTCTCGCTCAGTTAATGCATAAATAGTTGTTTTCTCTTCCTCAACTGATTTTTTTCCACTGAAATAATAGGAGCTCAGTATCTCTGAGATACCTACTTGTCCTGTCAATTGTGATTAGAAATCACCAGTGGATTAAACAATTCCTGTGGTGACAAAGAGGACATGTCCTTTTTCTGGAGCAGCTGAAATTCTGAAAAGCTGTTACCATTAACTTTGAGCAACATTAATGCTGGTGATGGGCCTGTGGCTTTTGATAGTGATTTCTGGGTATTTCTGTTTAATGTGTTGTACTAATAATGACTGTTTTACTAGCTTGAGCTAACAACCTCACGAGACTTTTTTAAAACAAGGTTTACACAGTAAGCAAACCTCACGATATGTTAAGACAGAACCAGACTTGACAACGGAGGGGATTCTGAATTGTTGTTCCAGTGGTGCAACATACCAAGCGGAATTGTTTCGCATTTATCTTGTGGGGTTTTTTTAATAAATTCTCCATTAGAGCTACTTTCAAAAAAAAAAAAAAGCAGCCCAACATAACAAGCACAGCCTTCCTTTATTTTCCTTTACCTAGTGTGTAACTGTTGAATTCCTTTTGGGAATAAAGGCGACTTTCTGCTCCTATCTCAGCAGCACGAAGCTATCGGTAGAGCTAATCATTGAGCAAGAATGCAGTGCGTTATTTCAGCATGAATTAATGTAGCGTGAATGATTGTGATACGTTAAGCTACGGAATTAAACATGTACTCTTATGGCAGTAATGCTGCAGGTCCTTACTGTTTTCTTAAAGGTCAAGGCCCATAGATTTATGGAGCTCTGCTCACAGAAGTGTTCCAGATCAGTGTCTGCTGATGGGTAACTCTCTGGGTCTGTGTCAACACGTGTGCTTGTACAGCATGCTCTGAGGGTGACCGCTCCTGCAACACGCGTTTCTCTTCATAGTTGTAATTCTGAAAGCTTATGCAAGTAGAGCGAGAAAGAGATGGAGTGCAGAGCCAACAGTGTTATTGAAAGCACAGTTTAATTGTTTGTGTTCTCCTTTTCTAGATCACAGCAATGGATCATTTAACTTGAAAGCCCTTTCAGGAGGCTCTGGCTACAAGTTTGGAGTCCTTGCTAAAATAGTGAACTATATGAAGGTACGCTGTTTTGATGTAATATTGTAATGTTTTTACATGTGTTCATTATTTTTTCTCCTGTGGTAGCTGGAAGATGCTGACTACTTCAAACTAAAATTATTTCCTTGCAAGAGTGAGAATTTCAAGAAATTGCTTATTAAATTCAGAATGCTGTCAGTAAGCAAAACAGTCTGCATGTTGTTTTGTTACTGAAATCGTAACTATTCCAGGTCCCTTTAAAACCAGGATAATGTTTTTTATTTGCAGTAGAAATAGGAATGGCAAGATGCTGACAGCTTTAGGGATTCATAAGCTATTTATCAAGGTAACATGTAATTTTGCAGAATCAAGGTTGGAAAAGACCTTCAAGATCATCAAGTCCAACCTTCAACGCAACACCCTCATGCCCACTAAACTGTGTCCCCAAGTGTCACGTCCTCACGTTTTTTGAGCACTTCCAGTGACGGTGACTCCACCACCCCCCTGGGCAGCCTGTGCCTATCTTTGACCACTCTCTCAGTAAAGAAACTTTTCCTAATATCCAGCCTAAACCTCCCCTTGCGCAACGTGAGGCCATTTCTTCTCGTCCTATCGCTGGTTACTTGGGAGAAGAGACCAACACCCACCTCACCACAACCCCCTTTCAGGTAGTTGTAGAGGGCGATGAGGGCTCCCCTCAGCCTCCTCTTCTCCAGACTGAACACCCCCAGTTCCCTCAGCCGCTCCTCATAAGACTTTGTGCTCCAGACCCTTCACCAGCTTCATTGCCCTTCTCTGGACATGCTCCAGCACCTCAATGTCCTTGTAGTGAGGGGACCAACAGTGAACACAGTATATGAGGTGCCATCTCAACAGTGCCGAGTACAGGCACACAATCACCTCCCTGTTAAGTTGATTGTGCTCCTGTATTATGCCCCTGTATATCACCTGCTTGGTGCTTGACAGATGACTTTATCATCAATCTCAGATGGCACTGATTTATTTTTTTCCTCATATTGTCAAAAACCCCGAATTGGAACTCATATGGTGTGTGTACTCTGTCTATCCTGATTTTGTAAAAGTTTTTTTGTCATCACATCATACTAATTTTACTTACTTTATGATAATTGAGTCATTGAATAAAGTAAGTATAGAACTCTAACAGCTCCTGTTTGCTTTTCCAGACTCGGCACCAGCGTGGTGATACACATCCGTTAACCCTAGAAGAGATTTTGGATGAAACGCAGCATTTAGATATTGGTCTCAAACAGAAACAATGGTTAATGAGCGAGGTAAAAACAACATATTTAGATTTTCATTAGAGATAAAGGATTACGATACACCTGAATTATACACTTTCATTTCATTACAAGCTCTATAAATATGTAATCCCCCCTTCAAGAAACTACATTGATTCACGTGTCTGTCTTGTACCTCCTGCTGTTGAGGTAACTGAAATGAAAGCTATTCTGACAATTTTAAGGAGCTGGTAGAATTGTTACACGGGGAGTAAATTTTATGTCAAGTGAATTTATTCATTATTAATATTATATAAACAAGCTGTTTTTTCTTGAGGAATTTCTTGTTTAAAAAAATTCAAGCGGAGAGCTCTTCCAGTATCGAGGATGTTAAATTAACTAAACCAATGGGAGTATGGCACAGAATTCATAGTCTTACAGTTCTTTGTTACTCACGGAAATGAAGAATTCTCATGTGAAACTTATGTGTGAATTTGTGAGGTGGTAGATCTGCAAATTCCACTGCTGGAGTTCATTAGTCTTACTCTAGATGCAGGGTTTCATTCTTACAGATCCAGCGTTAACTTGCCACCACATTCATCTTGGTGCACAATTGATCTGAATGTCTTAATGGAATTTCAAGATTAATAAATCAGCAAAATAGCATATTTGGTATTTATACTTGATTGGCGTACCTGATTTTGCTCAGATCATATTTAAAGTCCTCACAACAGAGTAGTAGAGGCTGCTGAGACATGGGGAGAAAAATCTCTGCGTAATAAAACGAGGATGGTTTTAACTAGTACAGCCTGTAGCGTTCCTTTGCTACCAGTACTAATGTTTTGGGCTACAGAAACCTCCAATCTGGCAGTGTTGGTTGTGATGGAAGCTTGACTTTGCTGCAGTCTTTCAAAAGGTAGCTCCAGGTTGTTTCCGCAATGAACCAGAATATTGAGATTGAATGAAAAAGCTCCTCCCAAGAAGTGTATATAGAATTATCACTGAGTTGTTCCCACATGAGAAAAGGTGAACAAATACCCTGCAGCGCCCAAGTTAGTTACCTTCTCTGTTGCAGGTGTTTTCTCCCTCCTTTCTTCTTTCTGTGTCTCTTCTCTTTCTCCTTTCAGGGTCAGACTGGCATCTGCAGAAGAAACTAAGTAGAGTTGCCCTCTGTTACAGGTGAACTTCCATTGTGGTACTGGCTGCACAGCAAAACTGATTCGGAGCAGATCTTAAATCATGTCAGTTGTCCGTGAACTTCTAGTCAGCTTTGCTCTGAAGCTGACATCATAAGCAAAATCCTACTGTGCAGGAGGTCTGCTCTTCTCAATTTCTTCTACAGCTGCTGGTGCCCATTGACAGCAGTTGGGGAAGACTGACTCCTGTTTTGTTCATCCCAGGTTAATGCCTTTCACATACGTAACATCCATATGACCCAGCTTGGTATGCCGAGTTGTGCGTTTGCACATTACATTCAGCCAAAGCACGCTTTTTTTTTACGTTGCCTCTTCTTTCTTTCTTCCGTTCCGTTCTCAAAAAGGAACGCGTCCGGCTTTCTGCCGTAAAGAGGTTTCACGGGCCTTCGAGCCCAAAGGCACTAAGTGAACGATGTTAAGCTTCCTTTGGTGCTTTGTGCCTTATGTTATGGCGAATTAGGCCTAGGCTGGTGGATCTAGGATCCAAGGATTTAAAATCCGTTTCAAACTCAAACCTCCAAAGTGGGCAGCTGTAACGTGTGGCTGATGCGCTCTAGCTCCTCAAAAAGCACGCTAGAGAAAAGTACTAGTGTGTGCTCTTTTTCAAGGCTTAAAATTTATGTCCCTATTACAGGCTCTAGTCAACAATCCGAAAATAGAAGTTGTAGATGGGAAGTATGCTTTCAAACCCAAGTACAACTTGAAAGATAAAAAGGCTCTGCTCAGGCTCTTGGACAAGCATGACCAGCGAGGGCTGGGAGGAATCCTTTTAGAAGACATTGAGGAAGGGCTACCCAATGCACAGAAAGCTATAAAGGTGAGTAGCACGTGTCTGCGATTCAGCGAACCCATTCCAGTTAGCTTCTCAAGGGGAGGTAGGGTCTAGGAGAGAATTTTCTCCTGAGTTGTTTCTGTTCTCTTGATAACTCAAAAGCTTCATTTCAGAAGATGTAGTATTACAGCTTTATTTCATCCTTTACTTTCAGATTAGGCCTGATGTCTCAGCACAGCTGTCAAAGCTCTTTCTCACAAAGACTCTTGATCTCCCACATTGCAACTGTAGACATTTTAGTTCTGCTTTTACACCTTGGTCTCAGTCCTCCATATCTCATCTTTGATTTATTAGTGTACTTACTGTCAGTGTCCACTTAGGATGCTTTTCATTGCCAGTTACTTTGCTGCTTGTCCAGTTTGTTGCGCTTTTTGTAGCACAAGATCTGAGTCTATTATTCAAGTTGGAATCCTTATTCTTGGCAACGAAGTGATTTTGAGTTGTTCTTTTGCATTTGTTTTCAAGGCTTTAGGGGACCAGATCATCTTTGTTAATCGCCCTGATAAGAAGAAAATTCTTTTCTACAATGACAAGAGCTGTCAGTTTACTGTGGATGAAGGTAGGTGTTGGTTTACGTATGTTTCCATGATAGTTGATTTGAATTCATCTTAAGCACCTATATGTATAAGCAGTCTTCAGGTATACCTGCCTTTTAAGGTGGTAATGAAATATTAGGTATATCCAGGTGTCAGGAGAATGGCTCGTAGTAACACGAGGCTGACAAGACTAGCAAGCGAGTTCAGGGGTAATATCCTCTGTTATATAACGGATACATTGGAACATGGCACCAGGAATCCAACAGTTCTCTTTGAGTGTAGCGGTACAGAAGAGACTAAAAATCACCTGACTCTGAGTAAAATGGCATGTAACACTTTCCTGTGTAAAGGGCAGCCAAAAAAACCCCAAAAGAATGGCTTCTGGGTGCAAGTTTGTTGTTTGGTTTTTTTAATCTGGTTTATTAATCATGTGCCTTTTATTGGTGAACGCGACGGGAAGCCACAAATGGAACACAAGGAGGAAGAAAACTGGGAGGAGATGTGAGCAAAAGTCCTGACAAGGGGTAGTTTACAACTGGGAGGAGAAGGTAGATGTGGGGTAGAGCTGCTGCCTAGAGCTGGAGTGGATTTGGAACTTCAGAAGTTCAGCGTCTGTTTTCTGTGTACCGGTTAGTGGTAAAATCCTCTGGTGCAATGTGCCTTTGGATGCACAGCAATTAATTACATAAATCGGGGTGTGTTCCAGTAATGACATTTACGCCAACATCAGATGCCTGTAAGTACAGAAAGGAGAAGGCAATCTGTGTTAAAATATCTTATTTTAAATGAGTCAACAACCCTGAATGCTTCCTGTTGTTAACGTAATGTTCTTGTAACGTGCCACGCCAAGCCGCATAATGTCACATTATGGTAAAAAAAAAAAAAGGAAGAGTTGTGACAGAAACTTGAACTGCTGCACTTAAAAGACTGTAGGACAAAGCATAAAGCTCTTTTTTTCTTTGATTAGCTCAGAGCAATTCTTTATTTTCAATAGAATTAAGCAACTGGAAATGTGTATCATTAACTTGTTTGTTATGTACTACACTTGTACTACCAGTAATAATAGCTTTCATCTGCAAAGATAATTAAGTAGATGTGACCTCTACAGTGTTTAACAAACTATAAAAATGCTGCAAAATATTGAAGTGGATCTTTTCTTAAACCATAATTTCTGTCACTTCTTGATAGTGCCAGTCAGAACTATATGTGAAATGCAGAATTAGAAGCCTTTAGTCTGCCCTCACTGGGGAATTTCTAACCTCACAAATGCCTATGAGTTTGCCATTAACACTGTCATGCTGTTCAGATAGTGCCTCTTCAGTCCATCTGCCCACAGATTTTAGCGACCGGAATGTAGCCAAAACGGTTAGACATCAGTGCTGTTGCAGTAACTGTTAAGACAAAGTGTTTAAGTTTTTAGCAGCTGCTGGTTGTACTGCAGTCACGATTGCTGATCATTTTTTCTTGTGCAATTTTTTCCAGATAACTGGCACGCAACCATCCTAAAACAGTTATCAGAGGGAGATCTCTACCCTGTTGCTCTTAGTTTGTAATAACTACAGGATTAACTGTGAAATTTAATGAAAGAGCCCATTTTATTAAGATGTAGCAAGAGACATCCACCAACGCTTCATCAGGTAGCCAGTATAAATCCAAGGCTGTTCCTATACAATGCGTTATATTTTAGCACACCCGGCATTGATCTGTGGTTAGGAGCAAGCAATGCAGGCTACTATTGCTGTTCAAGTGGAGAAAAGGTTAAAAAAAAAAAACCTCTAAAACCTCTTGAAACAAAACGTTTAAGCCGTTAGGCTCAATCTCCCAATGAAGGCAGGCATTTAAGCCTGCAGTGTCTGTAAGGAAGGGATCGCTAGTGTGCAGTGTGTTTGTAGTTCAAGGTGGCTTTGCTTGCTGTCATCCGCAGGTGGCAGCATGTGCCCATCCGATCAGGAAGTGATTTTTTTTTTTCCCTGTTCCTGCTGGTTTTGTGGGGTTTTTTTCATGTGGACGATGACGCTTTGTTCTGAGATGGGGCAAGAATACTTTCTCTTTTACAAATTCTGTGATTTGCTTGCATATGCCACAACTCTTAAAACATCCCTAAGTGTGTTCACTTACTTATTGCAGCTGGAATAGGTCCTTTTTCCAACCGTGTTATCCTGCGATGAAGAAAACCCATCCTTCCTGAGCAGTTTTGCTTTACGATCCTTTCCAGAGCACCAGAAGCATGTCTCTCAGGGAGTCACTGGCAGAATTGTCTGCGTACAGGATGAGTTATGACACGTGTCTGCCTTAGCAGTGCTATTTCAGCTCATTATCTCCAGCAATGTTAAAATGAAGTTTTTAGAAGACTGCAAAATAAGCCTTGAAGTGTTGTCATACTCTTTCATCTAGCAGCTGATGACAGTTCAAAATATGTTTCTAGTTTAATGTTTATCCTTGGAAATAAGGGCTCTGCACTCCGCAGTGCATGATTCTGCTGTATGACACACTCCAGTTTCGAACAGATGTTGGCTGGGATTAATATCCTCTAAAAGTTAGGCGTCCTCTCCCATCGCTGTCTGAGCTCCATCAACAGTCAGTACAGAAAGAGGAGCTGCCAGGGCAATTTGGGGGTTGCTGTCTCAAGGAGTGGGAGGAACTGCTTTCCTGCAGTGCTGATGTCTGCCCTGACTACAGTTGTTTTGATGGCTGAACGAGCTTTTGAAAATAAATCCCCATGTACTGCAGCGGTGGTGCAGTACCTTGTATGTCGTGATCTCAAGGGTATCGGAGAAGGTTTTTGCAGTAAGGAATGGCTTTTGTTCTTCCTTTTATGTGATTAGCCAAGGAAGGTTCAGATTGCATGTGTTCCTTCTTGACTTCCTGACTAATTAATCTTCTGTCGGTAGTGTGTAGCTGAAAGTGTTTATAAAAGCCGGGCTAGATTTCAGGTGCTCCAGCCAAGTAAAGCACTGCCTTTTTGTGCTGGGACTAAGCACTTTGCACGTGAACCAAGCTTTCACCCCGTGCCGGCTGAATGCTGAACGGCCAATCTGATTGCTTAACTGTTGGAGATGGTATCTTTCACATCTGAAAGCAATGTAGGAAGTATTTTAATGCCTAAAAACGTGGATACTTAATTATCCATGTTTTTAATATTCTTCCTAAGCACCTTTTGAAGAAATTTAAAGAATGGCGAAAGCATCTTAAATTTAACGATATAAAAATTGCTTGGGATCAGTGATGACGTATGGCTCTGGCTTAGAATTCAAGATGGCCCAGGGGCAGCACAGACTTAGTATCGAGCACCTTTTCATTTCTGTGCACCTTAGGTCTGCTACGAAGCAGGACTCCATCTTAGAGAATCATAGAATCACAGAATAGTTTGGCTTGGAAGGGACCTTCAAAGGCCATCTAGTCCAGCCCCCTGCCATGAGCAGGGACATCATCAACTGGATCAGGGTGCTCAGAGCCCCGTCCAACCTGACCTGGCATGTTGCCAGGGATGGGGCATCTACCACCTCTCTGGACAAGCTGGACCAGGGTTTCACCACCCTTGTTGTGAAAAATTTCTTCCTTAGATCTAGTCTGAATCAGCCCTCTTCTAGTTGAAAAACGTTACCCCTTGTCCTGTTGCTACAGGCCCTGCTAAAAAGTCTGTCCCCATTTCTCTTACAAGCCCCTTCAATACTGGCAGCTGCAATAAGGTCTTCGCAGAGCATTCTCTTCTCCAGGCTGAACAACCCCCACCCTCTTGGCCTTTCTTACCCACTACTCAGTTGTTTCTTCCCTTTTGCCCTGTTATTGTCTGTTCTTGTCCTGTGCTCAGATTTTGGCTCAGTGGCTCAGCTCAGTGAAGATTTTTTTTAAGCTGTTTTTAATCTCTGGCAGATTTTATTACGTGATATTAGCGTGATGTTGCAGTTAATCTACAGAAGCTATCTCAACCTTTTAGCAAGAGCAGGTGAGGCAGTCAGAAGTGCAGGATAAGCTGCACTGAAGTCACCATGCAGCCATTTACCCATGACTTCGTTCCCCAAATGTAAAGGTTTATAGAAAGGGAGTGTGTTAGAGTAAAATCACTCAGGGAATGTCAGCACAAATTGTTTTCGTATGTGAGGCACCCTGTGATGCCGTAAAGTTGAGGTAACCGTTCATCCTTACCCCTGGGGTATTTCGGAGGGAGAAGGTGTTTGCAAAATCTGTTGTAATGCTGCCCTCTGCTTTGCTGTGCGTTGATTACTGCTGGTCAAAGCTCATTGTTTTAAGTTTGTGCACGCTGACAACACGATGCTGGAGATGTTGGCAGACATCTAAACTGGCCTTTCAGTCAGCTTGTGGTTTCATTCCCTCCCTTCCCTCATTACTTGAAGGACCAGAAGTTAGCTATCTGGGGGAGCAAGGATGCAGCCTGTGAGTAGCGTTGATTCTGTCAAGCTTCTGAGTTAAAATTATTTTAGTGATCAAATTGCAAGATACTGCGTATAGGATTTGTTCATAGTCTAGGCAAGACATCGACCACCTGCCTCAGGTACCAGGATTACAGCTTTCTGCCTCTTCTGGGGAAGATCTGCACCGCCATCAGGCCTTTAATAGCTCCCCTGGAAATGCGTGTGTCTCCTTGAGGGTTGACAGCACCGGCGTTGCTTTGGCCGGAAACTCTTTGGAAATTTCTCCTCTGGGTATTTTTCTCTTGTCTTAGCAGCCTAAGCGGTAGGAGAAATTGTCAGCTTGTCTGAACGCAGCTTGCTGCGGTCAGGTGAAGCCTTGCTGGACATCTCTTTTTCCTTCCATAGCTATTATATGCTTGTTCTGGCTGATCTATCAAATAGTTTAGTGGATCTGATAGAAGAGTCTCTCTCCTTTGCCGTGCTCTGATGGTGTAAAGATCACCTAGCAGTTGACAGGGCATGGAGAAGGAAAATTGATGTGCTCTGCAATTGTAATGGTTACGTGCACTGCAGGTTTGAATGCGTGCATCTGAACCCGTTCTCCATGCCTGGCTGAAGCAGGCCAGCATGTTGCAAGCTTTCTGCTCCAACAGTCCCCTTCCCGTTCCTCACACCAATACCGAACTCCCCGTGTCCTGTCCACAGGGAAAAGAAAGACACTGTAAAAAATGGATCCGGTGTATTGAAACGGTCTCTAGGAACTGCTTTCTGTAACTGTTTGTCTTCAGACACATCAGCTCATCGCAGCGTTTTTCTTGGTCTTCTCCCCTCCCCAGAGACAGGCCGGCCTCCCACATCGTTCTGTCTGGCCAGCCGTAAGCATGGACACTTTGAGAGGTGGTGGAGGACAGTAATTGGGTCGTTGGGTGCCGTTTCCTCCTCGCTGGCCCTGCTCATGGACTGCTTTTTACAGGTGGTGACCCTGTAAAAAGGTTGTTTTGTTGCTTGGAGACACAGAAAGGGTGGTGTGACAGTTTTTGAGATTCTCCTCACAGAAGTCGGAGAAATCTCTTTCTGTCTTGGGTCAAGGCTGTGAATTTTGAGGTGCAGAAATGCCACAGCTACAAATGCGGACAGTTGTTTCTTGAGAGCTGTACTTACTGCCAGCTTTTCCCACAAGCTCTCAGATTTCTGAGAGGATGTCACAATAATTCAGATGGCGTATTCCCAAGGTCTGAACTTCTACTAGCTGATAGGGGCCTAGTCCTTGGAGACTTCAGAAGAAATCTGACAGGTAATGTGGAAATGCTTCAGTGCCAACCAGACAGCTGCTTTCTTTCTTCGGTTCCTGCGTTTGGCTCCATGTCTGGTGTTGCACCAAATCTGAGATGATAGATGTATCTCTTTTTCCCTTTAGATGGTACCCTAAATGCGAGGAGCTAGTAAGTACAGCCGTCCGAAGGGTGGCAGCTCTGTAGGCTTCTCCACCTTTATCCTGTGCTTTTTGTTCCAAACCAGTCCTTCAACTCAGAGTTATTTCTGGGGCGACAGACCGTGTTGTTGTGACTCCCCCCCTTTCCTAGGCAGTAAGGTATTTTAATGCTCTAGATGGAGCTTCAGCATGGGAAGGTTCTTCTGCAGTTGCCACAATCAAAGCGATAGTGCTGAAAGCAGTCTGATTTTATGACGGAATTTTGAAATGGAGCTGCAGAATACTGCATAGTGACTCTGGTGGGGCCAATGAGTGGATGAAATTATCTGTATGTAAAGTCCGTTTTAGCTTTGCGGTTTTGATTCTTGGTGACGGTTGCATTCTTATTTCTTGGCCAAGTTTAAAAGGGGAATGTGAAGCTGTAATGATGGTATAACCGCTGCATTACAAGAAATGCAAAACGCTGTGGTTAGATATTAACAGTGATCTGCACTTCTGTGCAAGTTGATCCTTGAAGAGCTGACCATTTATTTTCCAGTGTTTAATTTTTCACTTCTGTTCCCCAGAAGAATGTAGACCAGTTTAACCTTAAGCACCTATCCTCAGCGTTTTTATAATTTTTTTTACACCAGGGCGTATTTGTCCATATATCATGAACTCTAATAGGGAGACATATCATCTGTGTTTGTAGCAGAACATTATAAATAAAAGGACACTGTCACGTAGAAGTTCAGAGTTAATTGTGTCTCACCTGTTACCACCTCGCGTTCACGTGCCCGTCGTGCATCTTGGAGGACTGACCTGCATCTCTCCAGCTCGCACAGGAGCCGTCCGTGCAGAGCCAAAGGCAGTATGGCACAACGCAACCTCAGAGTATCTCTGACCGGGATCTGTTTAATAGTCATGCATTTATGTGCAGTCTTGTCGCTTCACGTGTGAACTGCAGAAACACGTGGTGTGGGAAACAGTTACTCGCAAAGTGCGATACTGCATATGCACGCCCCGTGGTCTGATTCATCTTTCCAAGCACCACCGGGTCTCGGTGTCCAGCTGAGTCCAGCTTGGGCGTTGAGGACAGGGAGGGGGCACAAGCAGCAAGGAAATAGCTCGAAAGAGCGTGTTCTGCTGAGCCCGGAGGATGCGATGGGACCCTTGCGCAGGCTTGTGCTATTGAGACTTGATCTGAGTGCTCATCGCTGAGAAATCTCTCTTGCATGTTCAGCTTTGATCACAACTCAGCCTTCTCCACCTGCCACAACAGGATTAGGTGAGAGATGATCTGTGATAGCAGGCATAGCACAAGCTATGCCAAAAGCCTGGAATCACACTCAAAATGGATGAGCAGACGAAGAATGGCTTGACTGCAATGTTAGTCCTTGCATTAAGTTATCTGAGAACTGCAGTCTCGGTGATCCTGCTGTGCTGTATAGCCTGTATGAGAAAGAGGCTGAGCGCTATCTCTGTGTAACCAAAAGTGGTGTTTTGAGAGGATTTAGTTCTCTTTAAAAACACTGCATTACCAAAAATGAACATTGTTGTTCTTTGCTGGCACAATTCCTTTCTTTTGTTTCCTGGAGCACTGGAACAGTCCCTTGCTGTTGGCAATGGGAAGAAGAAAAAGACCTGAGACTTAAAGCACGTGCTTTCACAGAAAAACAAGGTGCATTAGGAAGGGAACTGGTCTGAGCGCAGGAACCAAGTCTATTACATACACCTTGGGTACAGTGCCGTTTCGCAGCATGTCTAGAGCCGGTGTGTCTGCGGCAGACCGTCGCTGGCGCGTTTCATCTCCCACTGCATACGACAGCTTCTTAAGCATGCAGAAGTTGTGGTTGTTTTGACAACTGTATACTAAATTTATCTGGAAATAAAGGGAAAAATTTAGTCTTGCGTTGCTATGTGTGCCTTGTGTTTTATTTATAGTTTGTTAGCCAAACCTGCTGACAGGATATATCTAACTTACTGCCTGGGGAATGAAGGGAGGTAGGATTGTACCAGCCGCTGCCTGGGGAAGGCATTCCAGAGGCTCTGTGAAACTTTACGTGAGGCAGAAAGTGTGCAGGCAGATGGCAGCTGCTCTAATTAAGACTTACTGTCTCTGTCTTTTTTCCTGCTGCTGTGGCTTTTAAGGTATTTCGCTTCTTTTTAACACCAGAAGACTTTTAGTAATTTATTGTTTGTACAGCATGGTATGTATTATATTACAGTGATAAATCATCTTAAACCTACTGAAGTAAGTATCTTGGATCTTCAGTAAATTGGACTATGAGATGACAAGTCTCCCAAGACGATGGCAGCTGAAGATGTGTAAATGAAGTTGCCATTGATGCTTGGTTATTGCCCTTCACCAAGATCTTTTGAACTGAGGCTTAGGAAACACGTTGACAGTCTACGCAGCTGTAAAGGCAAAAAGAGTGACTCTGTAGCAAATGAACATTAAAAGCACATGTTGCCTGTGGGTGCTCCTGACACTGGGATGCTGGCCTGCAGTTAGCATGGATGAAAATCAGCTTATTGTTTCCATCAAGTGTTGGGGGTATTTTGTTGTTTGGGATTTCAGGGTTTGTTCTTTTTTTTTTGGTTGTGTTGGGTTTTTTTGGAAGTGCATCCGGCATTTGGGGTGGGTAAAAGCTGTGCTAACGGGGTGCTTGAGCGCGGTGATCGCTGCCGTGTCTATACGGTCACAGGCGGATGTGCCAGAATACTTCAGTGTTTGAAAAAGTCTGTTGCTTTCCTTTCGCGTGGGGGCTTTGCCCAGGGTTTGTTCGTTGCGATATCAAACGAGGGTTTGTTTGGTGTTTCAGAATTCCAGAAGCTGTGGAGGAGCATTCCCGTGGATTCTATGGATGAGGAGAAAATTGAAGAGTATCTGAAACGACAGGGTATTTCTTCCATGCAAGAAACTGGACCAAAGAAAATAGTAAGAGATACGAATTGCAGATCTTGCTAGGAAATTCCCCCTTCTTGACCCCGCAGTGTTCATTCCAAAACATGTTGGTGAGCCTATGCACAGCTGCTTTTGTGTAGCTCTGGGAAGTGTGACCGATTTTAAGAAGTTGCAAAAAACAGTGCTGTAGCCAGCAGTGTTTTTATAACTTGTTTGAGCCAGTGTAATCCGAGCAACATCAAGAAGAGGGCAAATGCCAGAAACCCCTGTGACCTCCAAAGTGGAAGCTTGTGCTTGAAGCTGTACAATACACTAGGAGTAGAAGAATAGTTACTTTTTTGGGAGAAGGGTGGGGGTTTTTAACTTTTCTGCTCAATAGCTTTGAAACCCTCATGAGAACCATCTAATGATGTGCCTCCCACCACAGACACACTGTTCTCCCAACTGGGTGCAAGATGCTCGCATTTTACTGGGAGGCCAAAATGGCTGCACGCATCTCCAAAGATGCCTTCTGCCTGGCTTCAAACAGATTTTTTTTTTTTAACATTTATTTGTATGTGATATACCATGCCTTTTCTCTTCTGCACTTGGCTTCAAACGGTCCTTTTACGAGAGCCTTTCCATACAGGACTTGCTCCTGGTTTCTGCCAGTCACTGCACTAGATGCTTTGATGCCTGTCGTCACGTAGGCACCCCTCGTGGATGCCTTATACGCTAAACGTGTCTCTGAGCACAGAACTGTGGATAGAACTATGGAGCCTGTACCTGCTTCTGTAGCTGCGTGGGAGCGTTTGGAAACTTCACTTCTAAAAGCCTTGACTTGACTACTGCGCATGGGATACAGAGACTCTGCTCTGTCCCCAGGGTCGTCTCCCTGCCTGGATTTAGTTTGAATGCTGTTGCTTCTTGCAAAAACAAGGGAGCACCTTCCCTGCCTGCCCACCCCCGGTTCAAGCAGGGCTCTTAATCACAGAAGTGATGACTAGCGCAGCGTCACACGTCGGGTCAGGTGTTGCAGCTGGAGGGCAGATCTTTTGACTACTGTTTATTTCTTCTTGTAGGCTCCTATTCAGAGAAGGAAGAAACCTGCTTCTCAGAAGAAACGTCGGTTTAAGACTCACAATGACCACTTGGCTGGAGTATTAAAAGATTACTCTGATATCGTTCCTGGCAAACAGTGATCAGTTGAATTCTGGAGCAAACGTGCATTTTTGTACAGGCTTTTTGCCACTTGGGCCCAGCGTCTGCTCGCAGAAAGACTGTCTGTATATAGTAATGTGATGTGTTTCCCCCATCCCAGCAACTGCCAAAATGAAACAGGTCAGTTAAAGAGCAAGTATGAACGACTACATTTAGAGTTTAATTTAATTAGCTAATGGGAAATGTGTCTTTCGGTAAGAGGTGCTCACTAGTCGCCTTTTGGCATAGGGTGATAAATGGTGCTCAGCGTGTAATGCAGGAGTTCCTGTTCAGAGCTGCACCCTGCTTTTACGTTGCTTAATGCATATTTACCTGGAATTACTTAAAAGGGGCTTTCTAGTAGAATCGAACACAGCATTTGTTTGACCTATTTCAGGAAAACCTTTTCCTAAAATCACTGCACGCAAGTTTCTTTCACAGTTAAATACACCCACGGTTTGTACGCTTCTTCCTTGCCATGGGACTGAGCTTTACTGAACGTTGGGTGATATCTGAGGCTCAGACTCAGAAAAAACCCTCTCCCGAACTCCCAGCAGGCTGCAGGATGGCTGTAGCTTCCTAAAGCTAATCAGAAATTGCCCTCGGCCATTTCTCGTCACTGTAGTGGATGCACATGTGTTGCACAGTTCTACTTTATGAACAGGAGGGAAATAAAATGATAGTGTAATACTGAAACAATTTTTTTTTTTAAGTAATAAACTTAGAATGCCGATTTCCAGTGTTGCTTCCTTAAAGAATGAGAGAAACAAAATCTTTTGTGCTTGTTGCGTTTTGCCTTTCAAGGAGGTAAAGGAATCTTTGCTATATTTTTATTCTCTCAATGACTTATTGTTCCACGCTAACATTGTCATCTTTTTGGTTGGGGAACGGGAAGGAACCACCTTAAGTGAAAGCTGCCTGTAGATGCCTCATGTTCTGTGCAGTACAAACTAATGTGGAATGTGGCCAAATTATGTCCTCTTGATAACTTATTTTTATGTACTGAGCCAGAGTCAATCAATGCTGATATTGTTTTCATGACGCTGTGGGAGAGGAGCTGTTTTGCTGCTCTTTTAGGGTTAGGATCAAAGATAAAATAGGTGACTACAGTATCCCACCGACAGTAGATTGCTGCTGAGTGCATGTGAGCTATTGTCTTGCTTGATGTATCGGGAGTTGAAGCAGAGGCCGTCGGATCCAGACACGTGAAGAGATGAAGAATAAGGCTTTCTTGCTGTCGCACTGAACAAGTTAGGTCTGCTTGGGGAAGCGCAGGAGGAGAAACATACTTCTGTAAGTGTAGCATTTATCCTCCTGATTGTAAAGACGGCTCTTCTGAGAAACAGACAATACTTCCAGCATTGCATGGCAGTGTTGTTTAAAGAGTTGCTAAATGCTGGTAGGAGGTTTAGTCTCTTTATTTTTTATATATATATAAAAGAACATCTATATTTAAAAAGCATTAAATATATGGTTTTTTTTTTTAAAAAAGCATGCTGCTTCAGCTGGTTTTGAAGTTGTTTTTCTTTCCTGTGTCTTCCAGGTCAGCACAAGCAATTCCTCTTGGAGCTTTTTAGTTTTCTGTTACAGCTCTGCTTTAGAGCAGCCGTGGCACACTTGCAAAACTGTTTACCTCTCATCTTCACTAAAAAGGAAAAAAAAAAAAAAAGGTTCTTTTCCATCTGCTGCATTTTTGAGCAGTGATTTCTTTGGTGGTGGTGCTCGGACAAAAGCAGAGCCCTTAGTGAGCTCTGAGTTGCCTTTCATAGCTTTGGGGGTTTTTATGGGGTAACTTTCCAGTCATCTTACATAGCATTACCCTTTCTCTGTCAACCAAAGCTCACAAAGCAGACTGTAAGGTAGGCTACATGATCTGTTTCTCTGCTTAAGTGATTAAGATAATGGGGGAGTCTAACAAAAATGCCTCCGGCTGCTTTGACGTATTAAAAATATGTTAGGTCAAAAAATAGGAGAGCAGGAAAGGAAGATTGACTACCAGCTGTGTGTGCTGTGCTGGCCTTGTCAGGCTCCACTGTTCGAGGAACAGAATGGTCCAGTTGGAAAGACTGGATTAGATGTTTTGTCTCACCGGAGGAAGTCTTCTCTGCTGTACTTGCAGAGAGGGCATAGTAAGTTTTGCAAGTTGTTAGGGTACATTCTCAAAAATAGGTGAAGGGAAGCTCGGATTGGCCCGTTAGAGGTGGCGTGGCATATAGACAAGCCATCGTGAAGAAAACAAGTTCAGAAAATAAGCATGAGCTCCTCTATTTCGTGTGGGTTTCAGGGGTTGGGTTTTGTTTCTCTGTCAAAGATGTTCCCAGCGGTCCTTATGGTTTTTTTCTAAGGCCTCTTAAAAATTAAATGGTGCAGCTTGAAAACATCTCAGACTATATCAACGGGAGCCTGTTTTGCTGAAAGCATTTTAGTACCACTCCAAGTCCACTTCAGTCGCTTCACAGTGTAATGTCCAACTCAGGCTTTTTGCTGAAGTTTGGCATAAGAGTTCACACCTGTTAAAAACTTAAACCTACTTCATCTTCCTCCAGAGTGTTCTCATGCATTCTGTGTCTGGCAAGATGGTTCTCCCAGTGACCAAAACCATCATGCCCTCAACTTGGTTTCTTTGGCAAAAATTCTTGTTCCCTTGTTCTGGCCATAAGAAGGGCTGCTGAGAAGCACCGTGCTCTCCTGGGGGCCGTGGGCCTATTACTCTTTTTTTCTCTGATTTCCCTAGAAGTGTCTGCTGCTAACCAGGAAGACAAGGGGGCTCGGGCTGCCCTTCACAGAGATAGAACATAGAATGTTTCACTTGGAAGGGACTTAAAACAATCATCTAGTCCATGGCAGGTGCCTTCGTCTCATGAGTTTCAGGAGGGTTCTTTGGCAAACCCAGCTCTTTACCTGTCCTTGCCAGGTGAGGACTTGCCTCTTCTGCTCTCCTGAGACCCCTCAGGTGATGCATGTCTTGTCCAGCAAGGACGTTGTTCCCTTGGCTCCAGGACTCGGCGTGGCGATCCTGGCAGGGCTGCTGTGCGAGCCTTTCTAACCCTCTGGGGTAAGGGAGGAACGCGGGCACTGATGAGCGGTCCTTCTGCTGGTAGCATCCTTCTCTTCTTCCCCTGCCCGATCAGCCAGGAGCAGAGAGGTATTCAGCTCCCACCTCCTGTGATGCTGATGGACACACGGACAGGACGCTGGGGAAAAGGAGGATGCTCTTTCTCAATGGTGGGAGCTCTCTGAGATACATCTTGGCTGTCAACATCGTCCTTTCACTTGCACAACCGCATCTTGAGCCTGCGGCTGCGAGGAAAGCATCTGCAGCAGTCACTGGCCCTGTTCCCAAGGGAAGGCAGCTCTTCTGAGGTCTGCAAGCAGCCAAGCCCTCTGTTTCCCCCTCGATACTACACTAGTTCATGTTGATGAAACTGGGGGAGGAGGGAGCCGGTGGGGTAAGCCGGGTCACATCGCTGATAGCTTTTCCTCTCTAGCCAGGCGTTGCCGGTCTAGGATTTGCTTCTGAAGAGGTATCCTTGCAGAGCATCCGTTGGCAATGTCGGCATACCTGCCTGTGGGGATCAGGGGCTGCCCTGGCCCTTCAGGAGGAGCTCGTTAGGACTTCTTCATGTCTATATACGTGAACCAGACCTCTTACTTCATCTGCTCCTCCTCACCCCCAAAATAAAAGCACTGTTGTTTTTTTAAGGTACAAGTTGAATAGCTCAGGGGTGTCACACCTCTAAACATGGAGCTCTACTGGCTTCCTTCCTAAAAGTTGCTCTAAGTGAAGAGTTATTCTACCTCCTCTTCCTCCGTTATGATGCTCATTCTGGAAGCGGATGGAAAACAGCAGGATTTTGTATGGTTGAACGAGAAAACTGACATAAGGTAGTGTGTACCAGAGCTAATCTATAATTCATCATGATCATTCAAGGCTTTTAGAGAGCAGAGGAGAGAGAGGCAAGGGAGCCCTGACAAACGGTATAAAGACCCCGCACGTGGATGGAGCCAGCGAGGGCTGTCACTTCACATGAGCATGGGCAGCCGGTGCAGGGCCACCGGGGAGAGCTGGGCTCCTCGTACCTGCTGATGAGGAGGGGCTGCATTTGCAGATGACTAGAAGCAACTATGGCACTGACATCTCATTATTTCCAGCTTTGTTGCTTGTTTTCCGGTCGCTGCTAATGTAGCAGGCCCAAATTCCTTTGTGTGTTACTGCCTCGGGCGCCTCTGGCAGCTGCTGCGTCTGGGGGAGGACGTCCGGTAGGGTTGAGTGCTTCGTGTTGGCTGGTTAAGTCCGACAAGGCTCACGGCTAACAGCCGTCAGGGAGGGGAGAGCTGGGACCCCAAGCTGCTGGTACGGGTTTTCAACTGCAGCCAAAGTCAGGGATATGGCTGGATCATCAAGGCCCAGCGCCGAGTTGTTCACCAAGAGAGGGATGAGCCTGAAGACAACAATTCCTGGCCGCCCCAAGTGGCTGGTGTTGCTATAGCACTGCCCAGCCTGGCTCTAGGGTTGCTCGCAAAAGGCAGCGCAGCACTAGCCGGGAGCCCTGGGCCGGCGTTTTGTTGTAACGCAGAAGACCAGGGGGTTTGGGGCTCGATCTCCTCCCAGGGGAGAGAGGGTCTGGTTCTGCACTGCTGCTCCGATCTGTTGTCCCGGCTCCGTAAGCGCGTTCCTAACCGTGTCGTGCTCAGCCCTGCGTAGGCTCTCTGGGCCCATCCCCATAAGGCAGATAAGGAGGAAGGGCAGTTCCCCAGGAGAGAGGGATTGTCTGGACATGGAAGGGCTCTCGGCAAGGAGGCAGCTTCTCCGTCGTGCTGGGTATTGCATAGCTTGTCGCTGCTTTCTTCCCAAATGAGGCGAACGCAGCCTGCGCCACTCCGGCAAGGGCTGGCGGAGCGAGGGAAGCTTTTGGCTCTCTGCTCAGCGCTGGGGAGGTCACAGCTGGAAACTCTGTCTGGTTTGGGCCTTCCCCCCCCGCCCAATTCAAGAGAGATGCAGTGATGCTGGGGAAGGTCTGGCTGGGTCTCCCGGGCTGGTCAGGACTGGGGGCGGAGGGTCTGGGAGGAGAGTGGGGAGCTGGAACGGCACGGTGTGGTGAAGAGGCGGATGGGGGCATATCTCATCACAGGTACAGCGATGTGAAGGGCAGTTAGGAAGATGATGCTGTCAGGCTCTTTTTGGCAGCCGTGGCAGATGACATAATAGGGGAATGCGGGAAATTTGGCTTGAATATTAGGGGAAAAAAAAAAAAAAGCTGGTGGGGAGGTGTCTCCATCCGTGGAGGTTTCAAGCATCGCCCAGACAAGACCAGGCTGCCCTGATCCCTTGGTAGCAACAGTCCT